TTTAACGGCCGACCCTCTTAACCTTAAACCCTTTTGGCGAATACGCGCCGTAAAGAGCGAAGGCAAGGAGACGAAGGGCAAGAGAGAGAGAGAGAGAGAAAGAAAGAGAGAGAGAGAGAGAGAGAGAGAGAGAGAGAGAGAGAGAGAGAGAGAGAGAGAGAGAGAGAGAGAGCCTTTAATGAAACTTTAGTTAAAGCGGATGGAAAATTAGCGGTCGGAGCATGCAAGAGGCGAGATTAATCGCCGACGTATTTAATATTCGCATCGTTAGAACATGCAAAGGAGTACTGGCTGTGCTGAAACATTTATATATGTAACTTTTGCTTTATAATCGCTTCAATATAATATTTCGTTTATATTAACTTATTATGATACGAATAAGAGATACGAATAAAACAATTTTAATGTACTTTCATATTACGTAGTTGAATTTAATAATATATCCTAATCTCTCCGCGCAGAGAACGGTCAAAATCCAATTTCCTGAGGTTCCCAAATCACAATTGCGCTCGTGAAAATTTTATAGTCGTCATACATTCGCGACGCGGAATAACTTCCGGCAATGTTGGAGAACATAACTCACAGCACGACGAATTCAAATATCTGGTGGTAAAAATCGGCGCTCGTGGCGAGCGAGCAGCGGCCGGCCGTGTTAAAACGTCGCTCCATTATTCCGGCGAGCCCGGTGACTTTTACGAGCGCAGCACGAGCGGTCGTTGCCAGTTATCGCGGCGTTACATCGCGGAGTTACGTCGCCGTAACGATTGTTGCAGGATGATTGCGGCGCGGTTGTATTCGGCGTTTTACTGATCGCAATGAGATCCGGCGATTGAGACGTTAATTAGCGAAAGATGCGCACGCCGTTTCTCGATCCGCGCGCTACGGGATTCCCGACGGGGCTAATTAACTCGCCGCGCCGCGGCGAGTATCTCCGCGCCAGTAAAAACCGTCGCGGATTAATCACGACGTGCTATATCTACGACGCCGTCGTTATCGTCGTCGTCGTCGTCGTCGACGATGCCGTCGTAGAAGTCCTATGACGACCGGCCGATACGGACCTCACCTAAGGCGGCTTATTTGCGAGCGGGTTGGTGACTTTTCTTTGCATATCGCGGGTAATCTGGTCGAGGGGTCTGGTCTCTCTGGCTTTCGGAATGGGGCGATTCTCGATTCGCGCTATCAGTCACTCTCGGTGTAATCGTGACGCGCGCCGCACCCGCGATTATGACGTCTGGTAAATTACGTATTATGGTGCATGATATGATCCTATTTATGGCAACAATAATACACCTGCACGTTTCTACACGCTGGAATATACGCGATTAGAAAAAGAAAAGAAAAGAGAAGAAAAGAGCGAGAGAAGAGGGGAGAAAGAGAAAGAACTGTTAAATATGACTTAGGATAACTGCGAATAATATAGCTGCTTTGAAAAAGAATGAGCCGGCTATAATGAATTGTGATTTTAACTCTGATTTAGAAGCGAAATAAAGAAGCTCTATGATGAAGAGAACTTGATATAACAGAGTACAATGCTAACGAAGAATTAAACAATACTCAACTGATTCAATGTAGCAATAGCCAACTTTGCTAATTGGTATTGGCTAAATGTAAATTCTGCGTATTCGTTTGACATAATAATATGGTAACATTAATTAGCATTAATAATAGGAATGCAATCATTTCAGTTTCATGAAAAACGTCATAATTACGCATTGCGTTATCACGTAGGCTTTTAGGCTTCGTCTAAACAATGCATTCGTTAGTGATATCTATTTCTACTTTTGTGCCTAAATTTACTTATTCTTGCTTTCCTTGGCACAGATGTTGATAAAAATTACTATTATTAACTATGTGTTGCATGACGACATTACGGTAAATTACTGTTATCATCAACAGAAGATTGTTGGAATTGCTCCGTTTAGCTATCTGCTAAAATAAGCGGTTTTTTTCTAGCATCTAAATATTACGTAAATAAGGAATTTCCCGAAGAGGCCACCGATATCGATGTTCGCCTCTCTAAGCTGCAGTGCTAATGTGTTAATGATATCAAAATTGCAATCGCACGCATAATTGAGCTGCGCTAGATAATTCGATTTGTGCCGCAAAATTCGATTTCGTGTTGCATCTTCATCAGACAAATGTGATGTAAATGGAAATTCTGATCTATAAATAAGATTGAGATTGAATATATTAAGATGTCAAAATATAGTAGAATTCAAAATATATTGAAATAATTGTATTGTTCGGATAATACAAATAAATTCGAATAAGAAATTGTTGCTTCATATAATATTAAGAAATTGTTGGTCCAACAATAATAATAAAAATTTTAAAATATTTAAATTTAAAAAATGACAATACTTTTGCTAATATAACACAATTTTAATTAAAAATTTCAAAAAAGTCTTATTTTATCCTCAACCTTTTTTTAATATCCATGGCATCAATAAGTTAAAAATTTTTCCTACTCTTGTTGCTTTTCTATCCGATAATTCTCTTCTATCTCTTCAGAGATGTAATATATCATAATGCATCATATCCGAAGTCTGCTAGCTGCGATAACGCGAAATCCAGGCCATAATTACGTAATTAGGTTGGTAATATAAAAAAAATGGGATCATCGCGGGTTTCTGATTAATATATAAAATGTTGATGTCACCGTATCGATTTAGTCGGTGTATCAAAAGTAACCTTTCGTCGAGGATGAATTTATGACGGAATTGAGTAAAAACAAGATTAGTGTAAGATATTACGACACGAGTGCAAACATAGTACTTTTATCTGCCGAGATAAAATCTGCGAGAACGAGATCCTAATTTATTGTTCAACTGACGAGCATGTTATTTTTTCGCGGTGTGTTGTATCTTCAAGCACGACGGTGCGGCGGTGTAAACATACGTGCAGTATCACCGCAATCACAACTACGGTAATAAACTGTTGTACGTTATTAGGATGCATTATTTGCGGTTGCTATTTCATTTGAAATACTATATGTATATCTGCATGATGGATATGGGGATTGTTCAATAATGTGGTTGTTTCAATCAAAGCCTGTCAAGTCTGACATTCTAAATCTAGAATTTTTTAAAACTACTAAACTCTGTGATGAGAGAAACAATAGCTGTACTAACATCAGTTAGTGGATTTTTATATTATGTATTTATTCTATTTTATCTCTCTATTTAGTCTTTTAAGAAATACCAAGATGCAAAACCTCAGAAGCCTCAGACGGAAATCAGATTGCCTGAGAAATATGAGAAATAAATTCTAATCCCGTTTCCCCGTAACAAACGCCGGCGCTAATTTCGCAATTACGTATTCGCTGTCTTAGTCCGTTTCCCACAGGCGCGACCAGGAAGAGATCTTCATCTGCCAGTCGCGCGAATGGGACGACCTTAATCCCCAAACGTCACGTCAAACATTCTCTCCCGGCGCGGCGCGACGGGCGGGACTTAATTCCATAAAAGACAAACTCGCGTCGCGAGGAGAAATTCAATTTGTGTGCGAGTTTTGCATAACGAGTACACCGCGATGGACTACGTATATATAAGCCCGATAGTTTCTCATTAAGCCACACTGACCCAGAACCAGATCCCACAGCAGCGCGAGCACAATGGCACCATCGTCCGGGGGTAACCACCCCCTCGACTGCTCGACCGGTTCAATTGGATGTACGGTTTGCATACCGATAGTCTCGTGGGGACAATGCCGTGCGTAAATTTGTATACGCCTCAACACGTATATACGTGTTTTCTGCTAGTGACGCAAGCAGCCGCTGTAGCAACTACATCGCTTTATAAAATTGATGCATGACATACAAAGAGAGAGGAAAAAATTTAATGCATTGTGAGCTTGGAGATTCCTTATTTTTCAAGAACTGTAGACAACTTTGAAAGCTTTCTCGAGCAATCGGCTTATACTGAACTACAATATGCAACTCGTGTTCGTCTCGACGTGCATTGATATCAAATCAAGAAAAAATTGTACAATAAATTTTCAAGTTGCAGATATTGCCGAAAGAAATTTCACGAGAATTCGCTGTTGAAAAGTCGCTTTGTCAGAATATCGTAAGTGTAGTTTCTTTTATGCAAACGTAAATTTGTAACCAAAAATATTTCATATGCAGCTGTCGCGCGTTGTTTGGTAGCCGAAATCGGTTACGACATTGAATGCATGCAAAATGCACATTGAACGTGCTCACACGTGTATCCCGTATGTATCGCGCTCTCCGCGAAAGCTCACCGGTGCCTCAATCCCTGACCTACATGGACGACGGAATCTCAAATGGTGGTTGATATACCCCCGGAGGATTTCAGAGCCCGGCTCAGCGCACTTACGCGACGCTTGCACTTGCACGAGGCTCGCACGACAAAAAGACATGCACAACGACGCTTCGTCGCCTCTTGCGTATAACTGAGATAAAAGTTTATTGGTCTTTCGAGAAAAATGTCGCCGGTCCGCATCCCGCTGCGCGACTTACAGCTCAACATTTTCGCACGACGGTCGTGTCGGAAGAAATTGTTTCTCGTTACCTTTCGTGAGGCACCGCGAGAGCGTCGTGAGCTCAGGTGGAAATCGCAAAATGTCGCTCGTGATTTCACGGTGGAGGTACACGAGATTGGGAGAACGATATTCGCAGGAGGATAAAGTATCACGACGAAAATTCTGCTCCAGTTTTCTGTTATTTCTATTTATACGCATGTATAAGATTACATAAGTACACACCGCGATTAAAATGTCAATATTAATTAATAAACATTTTTTTAGAAATATAAATACATATAAATAATTTCTATTTTTAATAAATTTAAATAATTTCTATTTCATAACAAACTGGAAAAATTAATGTAAGCCACATTATCATAAAAAAAATCAAGCATGTCACTTTCTTTCTTAAAGTTGAATCTTGTTTAGTCTTATACATATAAGACCAAAACTAATTGCAATAATTTCTGCACCGTATCGCATTTTGCTTAATTTGATTAACAATAGGTACTTACCGTGATTTGCTGATTAGTCGGGCTAGGGCTAGGGCTGGGAGTGGAATTTGGCGTAGAGAGCTCTCCCGATGCCGGCGAGGGTGAATTTGTAGTGACACCGCCGACAGTTGGAAATGCCCTCGCTGGATCGGCTTGCCATTGTTTATGGATTTGCTGCGAGGTGTCTCGGAACCGCGCGCCCTAAAGCAAAAAGTGCATAATTTCTTATTAAATTTCTTGTCAGAAGACGTGAGACGAGATGAGACGTACGTTTTCCGAGTAATTAGGAACACACGTTAGTCGGTTTATTTTCAAATTAAGACATTGAACGTATTTCTCTGCAATTTTTTAAATAATAAAACATTTCGAACATATTAGCCTGTAAATAATTCTTAAATATAAAAAAAGAATTAATCAGCTTATTACTTAAAATCTATTCATCGCGCTTCCTTCCGATTGTGAGCAAAGTGAATAACGACTCCCTCGCATGTAAACGCGCGTACCATTTTCACGGCAATTAATATGCATACGTCGTCTCGCCGGCGTGCCGCTGAACACTTGCATCCTTGAAGAACTAGATCGCCCGCATACACGTCATATCATCAGATGACACAGTTCGATTAGTCTCGGATATTTGCCTCTAGACAATTGTATCGAGTTCGATCGCTCCGCTCCGCCGATCCGACAAGTCTAATTAGAATGGCGAGCCAGCCTACACGAATGCCGTAAATAAGGTCACATTCCCTGCTAAATTTTACGTTAATACTGAAATACCGTTAGCTATCTAGTCTCATATCATCTCGTGAGTGTAACGTATCAATCGAAAAGAGCTACACGTGTCAAAAATAATCATAAATGGAGACTTGAAACGGAAGTCGAGCTAAGTACCAACGAATTGAAACCTATGGTTAAGAAAATAGTGGTTAAAAAATAGTCATTAATTTAGTTCCCTCTCTTCGATATCATAGCACATGACAGTATTCTTTCTTTTATATGTATCGTGATATAATTTAATGTGCGTAACGTAATATATATGGGGAAGTATGTGTGTCAATCGTTTACTATGACGTGTATCCGCCGCAATTAATAATTTTATAGCGGCTGTCAAGATGACGAGTTGACGGCTGTCTGATGTAGAAGTTCGTAGACCCCTACGGCCGAACTACGCAAGATTGCGTGCGCGTGTGCAATCCTTCAAGAACAGCGTCGTTCGCGGATGCGATAATTGCGCTTATGCAACACCGCCTCACCGTAATAGCAATTAGCGCCGGGGGAGTATAATAGAGGCCGTATAAGCGGAATCTTTCGAGCGAGTGTGTTCCGAACGTGTGGCCCGCGCCTGCCAATCGACGCTGCCTTTTTAAGACCCCGAGAGACTGTGCGGGGCACGTCGGCGAATTGCGGGGAGTCAATCTAAAATTTTTCACCCATGTCAAATCGGCGCGCCCGATTGCCACGGTCTCGGAATTAATTTCGCGAGGAATGAGGCTAATTTACATCCGTTACGGCATTCCCCTTGCAATCGCGGCCACATTGTATATAATAATATCTCACGTCGCGTCGTGTAATCTCCCGCAGATTCCACGCCGCGATTAAAGGATGCATTTTTCGGGAGCTTCCTCTTACCGCGCGGTATTAAATCTACGTGCACGTGTCGGTCAAAGTGACACTCGCGGAATGGATTGGCAAAACACTGTTGGTGTTTGTACAGCCACGTATATGGTGTCTTGAAAATTCTCTTTTCGAACTTTTCGAGAAAATTTAATTTTTGAGAGCAAACATTTTCGACCGTATATAATATTCAAATATTTTCTTTGCAACCATTAGAGATTATATATTATGTATGTACAGTAATTGACACTAAGTACAAAAATCATTTAGTAATGCATGCATATTTTTAATATCAATTCTCTGAAAATACGACAACGCGAATGCACCGGAAATTGACGTTAAATGTAAATTTATTTTATTATGATAGAGCAGATTTTATGAAATTTTTGTTACGAGTGTAATGGCATCTTTCACATGGGAAAAGAGGTGTATGAAGAATTTATAACTTTCTCTACATAAAATTTATGTGAAAGGTAATAAAAATCAACATAAGGAAATTTATGTTTCACCCGATATGTATTCCAGACTGAATCTCGATGCGCGAGGGACCAAATGGGGACGCTTTCGTGTGCGTGGATCGTACGAGCTCACATAAACGTGCACGATCGAGACTAACGGGCCGCGCTGTGATTTAGCCTCCGTCTTTCATGACGTTGCGCTGAGAGTGATCCAGCACGATCAAGATCGTCAGATACGTCCGTGGCATTCATGTGGCGATCCGGGCGATCTACGCGGAGGTCGACTACCGGATACGGTACAGCGGAACGCGTGCGGGACGCGATCGTTTTCATCGTAAACAAAAGGCGCGGTTTAAATAGCGCTTCAGTTAAATCGCGATTTATAGCGGATAAAGTGCAATGTTGCGAAACAAAACTCTCTTCCGACGCCCGCCGTTGTTCATAATGAATCGTATGGTTCGTATCATGACGTACAGAAAACTCAACTGTTTATGTCGTAGAATCATTTAGATTCATAAGATAATGTACCAGTGAAGTTTTCTTCGTCTGTAATTTAAAACGTTAATTAATTTCAGTTGCATTTTAAACGGAAGTGCTGGCTTACTTTATGATAATGTTAAAAAGTCACCAAATAATTTCAATTTGACGCTGTTCAATGCCAATAAATGCAAAATGAGTTTGCAATATCTCACAACAGAAAAAGCAGTATATCAATATAATTTATGAATCAAAATAAATTAATCTCGACAGATTCTGATTTTTCAAACTGATTAATTGCTTTAGGTATATATCATAGATTTAAACGTCATCAGAACATGATTATTTTTTTAAATTTAGTCTAAGGTCGATCTTACTTGTAGTATAAGTAATTATAATAACAATTTTTAACGCATCATCCACTGCTAGAAAAAGATCTTTCATTATCGGCGGACCGCCCTTTCTCCCTATATTCTGTTGAATTGCCTATCGCGATCGCTCGAGAAGATCGACTGTTATCTATCATGTAATCCCCACGCGAACACGCGCGGTCGGCTCGAGCACGCGGCGAAAATTGATTGCATCGCGGCGGTAATGCAACGCGGTGCAGTTCCGCTTTTTGTTCCCTCTGTTATCCGCGGAAGGGTTACCACGCGGCGCGGCGCAGCGACGTCATCTCGTTTGCGCGCGACGTCGTTCCCCCGCGAATTAAACGCTTCGCGAAATTTTTCAGGATCAAGTGTCCGTCAGAGCGTGAAAGCGAGCGCGCGCGAATTTCGCGGCGGTGTAGTACTTCGAGCGTGGCGTGCAACGTTATCCGAATACGACAACCGAGACAACACGCCGCTTCTCTAGTTGAGGTTTTGCGGGTGTACTGGAAAGTTCTTGGAATTTCGCTGTAATTCGAAGCGTGCTGACAAGTGGGATCACGGCGGACCTCGCTGTCGTATTTCGCATTATTCGCCGAAAAAAATGATGCCGTTTCTAAACTTGTCGACGCCTGAATTAGCATTATCATCGGTAATTTGAAAACTTTCAATAGAATACTGCTCGTTTTAATTTAAATAATTTTCAGTAATATGAATTAAAAAAAAAAGTCAGAAAATCCAGACAAAAGTAAGGTATAAAACATGTATTATATTCAGAAGAGTATAGCTGGTACTCTCTCTCCTCCATTTTCTCAAAAGCCACGTCATGACGCGTTCGTTATTCCCGCGTCATTAAAATGAAATACGCTTGACGTGCCGACGAAGTGTTGGCATGCCAATCGGCCTCGGTCTGTCTTCGAGCGACGATGCCGCGCGGGCTAATCGCGCGATCGCAAAAATCGCGGGGCGCGCGTCGAGGAGGAAGCGATTGCGCGCCGAATTGAAGTCCCTTCGATGCCGCGCGGCGCATCGCGCATCTCCTATCGAGCGATCTTACCGCGTACCTCGTCGAAGAGGTCGTCCAGTTCTTTCCGTGGTATCTTGGCCTTCATCCCGCGAGCATTCCTCGCGTCGGAGCTTCCCCGACGTCTCTTTATCTCGACGCTGCGCGGAAGAGACCGAACGAGAAGAAATGTTGATGGAGAGGAGGACCAGGAGAGCCCGTTTCCTTCAAATGTCACGAGCCGGACCCCTGTTCTCTCTCTTGTTTCTGCGGTTGATCTCGAAAGAGATGCTCTTTCTTAGACACATAAATAGTCGATGACGCGCAAAGTGCGAGAGAAGGTCGCGCGATAATGGCCACGACGACGCGCGGCCGGTTCTGCACTCTTCATCGTCGGGGACGTCGTCGTTGCACCAACCGGTCCATCATTCATCGCCGCTGCTCAGTCTCCATTCGACTAAAGCGTGTGTGTTCGGAGCAGCTCATACGAAATTACACTGACACATGGCACGTCGCATCCGATTCTTCATTCGGGTTTTCATCAACATTTCTTTATCAAAAATTAATAATTGATATATTACGACCACAGAATTATGCACAATGTTTTAATGTTTTAATATTATTGTTATTAATTCATTATTATTATCAATTTATGATAATTTGAATTTATATTTAACCAGCATTCAATAAATTGAGAGAAAATTTGTTCGGTGGAAAATGTACGTAAAATATAAATATCTTTAAATATAAATAATTCATACGTAATATCTCGATAATTACTGATCGTCGATAATGTATTCGAAAGCTGGCAGCGCTTTTCGTGCCGACGATATTAAGTATGAAAATTTATTGGCCCATTCCGCAAAGCCATAGTAATATTTTTCTTGCGTCCTGACTTCAACGTACAAATCCACGCCTCGAATTCGCGTGACTTCGTCGATAAACCGCGGAATCCTTTCAAGAACTTTGAAAACGACATCAATTCGTCACATGTTCGTTCGCAGCGCATTGACATATTTGATATTCGAAATAAAAGAAACCTTGAATACTATTTATATCCACCCACGATTCTTTCAGAGATAGAAAATTTCTTATTCAACAAAAAGATTAGTATTATATTAATTGACAAATTAGATTATTATTAAAGTTACTTCACTTAAAACATAGCTTTTATTTATCGTGTTAAATTTAATTCAAAAAAATTAATAAGTTATATACTTTTAAATTCATTTCATAATCTTGATGCACAACGTCCATCGACTTATATAAATATTCTCTTTTGCT